CCTACTCACCCTCCCTCTTCCCCCTCTCCCACCTTTCTCCTCTTCTCCCTCTCAACCCATCCCCCTTTCCTCCCCTCTCATCTCCCCATATTCCTCCTTCCTCCTCTCTCCCTTTTCCCTTCTCTTTTCTTCTCTTCTTCCGCCCCCCTTTCCTCTTCCCGCCCCCCTCTTCCTCCCCCCTCCCCACTCCCCCCCCCCACATCCACCCCCCTTCCTTTCCCCCTACCACCGATCCTCCCCCCCCAATAACAATAACCCTTTCCCCCTTAAGCAGATGCCCTTTAATCGCCATTTTAGCGTCTAACCCTTGAGGAGATTCCCCTCTAATCGCCTTGCGTGGTTCGTCGTGACAGCAGTGCCAAGGAGGGGTTCCCTTTGATCTCTCACTTCCCAAGTCTCGGAGATGAAAGAGCAGCATCCTCCTGTTTCCTCTGACCTGCCTCCTCTCCTCCCTTTATTTTGCTCCCTTTATTTCCTCTTCTCCTCCCCCTACTTCCCTCCTCCTCTTCTCCTATCTTTTCTCCTCCTCTCCTCCCCTACTTCCCTCCTTTCCTCTCTCCTCTATCCTCCTCCTCCCCTCCCTTCCTCTCTCCTCTTCTACCCTCTCCCCTCCCCTTCTTCTCTCCTCTTCCCCCTGCCTCCTCTCGATGCTGTGCCCCCCCCCCCCTTCCCAATCCTGATCTACCTTCCCTGAGGTGCCGCCCCAGCCCTCCCCCTCCCTTTGTCCCAACTTTCTAATCTCCCCTCAGAACCGTCCCCTCTTCCTTGTGCCCCTCCCCCCTTCTCCTTTCCCCTGTGTCTATCCCCTCCCCTCTCCCTGTTTCTATTCCCCCTCCCCTCTCTCCTGTGCCTTTTCCTCCTCCCCCTCTTCCCTGTGTCCCTTCCACTTCCCCTCTTCCCTCTTGTTCCTTCCCCTTCCTCCTTCCCTGTGTCCCTTCCACTTCCCCTATCCGCCTCTCCCCTTAGCCCCTTTCCGCTCCCTTCTCCTCCTTTGCCTCACTTCATTCCCCTATTCCCTAGCCCTTCCCCATCCCCCTTTCTCCTGTGTCCCTTCCCATTCCCCTCCCCTCCCTCTCCTTGCCTCACTTCCCTTCCCCTTCCCAATGCCCCTCCCCCATTCCGCCTTCCCCTCTCTCTCCTTGCCTCACTTCCCTTCCCCTCTTCCCAATGCCCCTCCCCAATCTCCCTCTTGCCCTCTTTGCGCTTCCACCCCTTCCCTCTCGCCTCCTTGCCTCACTCCTTCCCCCTCTTCCCAATGCCCCCCATCCCCCTTCTTCCCTCTTCGCCTCCCTTCCCCTCTCCCTCCTTGCCTCACCCTTTCCCCTCTCTCTCCTTGCCTCACTTCCCTTCCCTACCTGAGAACATCACCATAATTACATTTCCTGTTTTCGTCATCTTCTCGGCTACAACCATTATCCTCAGCGCTATTTTATTTTCCATTTTGTTATTATGGTTTATTACTATCACCATTGTCATTGTCTTTTTATTATGTTGCTATCATAATTGTCATCGTTATCAACTTTATCTGATTATCATTTTGTTGTTGTTTATATTTCTGTTTTTATTATCGTTATAACTATTACTGTTACTATCATGAGCATTATCATTATTATTGATTATAATGATGACAATAAGAATGATATGATAACAGCCAGAAATTATAATTATCATTAGCTTGATTACTATTATGATTACTATTAATATTTTCATTAAAATCATTACTTTTACCATTATATCATTCCAATATTATTATTTATTATTATCATTATTATTTTCTTGTTGCTGTTGGTGTTTTTATTATTGTCGTCATCATCATCGTCTTAATTTCATCATCATTAACTCTCTCTCCCTCTCTCTCTCTCTCTCTCTCTCTCTCTCTCTCTCTCTCTCTCTCTCTCTCTCTCTCTCTCTTCCCTCCCTCCCCTCTCTCTCTCTGTCTCTCTCTCTCTCCCTCCCTCAGAATCATCAACATCGTTACCAAACCCACTAAACCCATTAAGCCTTCTAGTACCACTACCAACCTCACAGTATCTACCTCTCCCACTCTACCACTACAACTGCCTCTACATTTTTACTCCAACAGATCAAGAAAGGGGAGACAGAGAGAAGAGAGAGAAATTATAATGACGAGAAGAGAGAGAGCAAACAATCACTGTAGAACGAGGCGGGCAAAGGTGATATATACATAAGCTCAGGCGAGGATTGGAGTCTGAAGCACACAATGTGGCTTGCCATAGGGGGGGAGGGAGGGGAAGGGAGGAAGGGGAGGGGGAGGGGAGGGGAAGGAGGAGGAGGAGGAGGAGGAAAGAGGGGAGGAGGGAGGGAGGGGAAAGAGGAAGGAGAGGAGGAGAAGAGGAAGAGAAGGAGGGAAGGAGAAAGAGGAGGAGAGAGGAGGAGGAGGGAGGAAGGGAGGAGGGTGGAAAGGAGAAGGAGGAGGGGTAATGCATATGTGTGTGTGATAATATGTGTGTATATATGTGTGTGTGTGTGTGAGGGAGGGAGAGAGGGAGGAGGAGAAAGATAGAGAGAGAGCGAGAGCGAGAGAGAGAAAGAGAGAGAGAGAGAGAGAGAGAGAGAGAGAGAGAGAGAGAGAGAGAGAGAGAGAGAGAGAGAGAGAGAGAGAGACAGACAGCAGACAGACAGAGAGACACCTTGAACTTATCCTGCAAGGACGCCTACCTCAAGCCCATAGACATAATCATAACCTTCGTGTCTCCGAGGATTATGATAATGGAGGCACTCTCGCTTGTAATTATATTTGTATTGTGTATCGGCGTCGAGGCTGCCGGCATGTGAGGCGACGGAGTATACATTTGCATAGGTAGTATACTATCCGAGTGGCTGTGTCGCTATCTACCACGGGGAAATGCGGGAGGGGAGGGGGGGGGGTAACGACGTAGGATGGGAAGGGGGAGGAGAGGGAGGGGTAAGGGGGTAAGGGGCTTGAAGAGGGAGGGTAAGGGCTTGGGGGAGGGGAGGGGTAAGGACGTAGGGGAAGGGGGAGGGGGGGAGGGTAAGGCTTGGAAGGGTGAGAGGGAGGGTAAGGGCTTGGGAAGGGGAGGGGGTAAGGAAGGGGGGGAAGGGGGGGGGGGTAAGGGGGGGGGTGAGAGGGTAGGGGATGGGGAGGGGGGAGGGGGGGAGGGGGAGTGTAAGGGCTTGGGAAGGGGTGAGAGGGAGGGGTAAGGGCTTGGGAAGGGGGGGGGAGGGGTAAGGACGTAGGATGGGAAGGGAGAAGAGCAGGCTGGTAGAATTATTCCCATTTGCACACACTTTCCCTCGTAAGAAAATAAATGGGCGCTTAATCTATTCTTTTCTGTGCACTTTTGAGTGCGTGTGTAAAAATATGCGTTGCGTTTGTCTGCGAGCGTATGTGTGCACGTGTGTATGTAAGTGTGTCTGCGTGTTGTAATGTAAGTGTGTTTTGTCACATCAGACATGGTGATAATATCATATCTTATTCTTTTGTAATGTGATATTGTAATTTCAGTCTTCGTGGTTGCAAGCTCATCTACATAAACATATGATATTAAGATTTCGTGTGTATGTGTGGTCGATTATGTCTGTAACGATATGTGTGTATGTGTGTGTGTGTGTGTTGTGTGTGTGTGTGTGTGTGTGTGTGTGTGTGTGTGTGTGTGTGTGTGTGTGTGTGTGTGTGTGTGTGTGTGTGTGTGTGTGGTGTGTGTGTGTGTGTGTGTGGTCAATTATGTATGTCACGAATGTGTGTGTGTGTGTGCGTCTATATACATACATGTAATGAAAGTAAACAAAGTGATCTGCAGAAGTCCACTCGATCACTCGATCTTGATTACCTATACGTCACGGGTGTATAGGCAATTAAGTGCAAAGGTGTACAGTACAGCCATGTGTACCATTACATTAATCAACGTATTCTCTTTCATGCAGAATTCCAGCAGGCGTAAACACACGCACGTAAAAACTCGCTTATATATATATATATATATATATATATATATATATATATATATACTATATATATATATATATATATATATATATATATATATATATATATATATATATATGCCAGAAACCCCGAAGATGAAGTGCGGAGAAGCCTCGATGTTGCAAAGGGCGAAGCGAGGTTGCAAAGCGTTGATTCCCGGGTTCCAAGGCGCCCGGTGTCCCATTGCACGATCAATGGCCAATTAGTGACACGCCCTCGCCAATTGCGCTCAGCTGAGAAATGGAGGAGGCTTCGATTTAAAACTTTATTTCGCCACGCCCATGACCTGTTTTGACGTGAGGGAGGGTGGGTGACCTTCGATTGACATGAAGGGGATGTCTCTTATTTTCATTCTTTCCATTTCATAAGGAGTTGTCTTTCTATATTATGTGGAGGGCTGGGATGAGCTTCATTCGAGGAGGGGAGTTAATCTATTCGACATGAGCAGAGAGGGTAACATCTTTTGACATGACATGCGATGACCTTCGCTTGACAGGAGGAGGGAAGAAAGTTGCTATATGTATAATATGAAGAGGGGTTTAATCCATTCAATATGAGGAAGGGGTAACCTCTTTTGACATGAGATAGGTTTAACTATTCAGCATGAGCAGATTGTGACCTTTTTTGACATGGGGAGGTTCAGCCATTCAGCATGAGTAAGGGGTGGGTGATTCACGCGCAGAGTGATGTGAAGCAATGGCGTGGTAGCCTAGATAGTGTTAAGTGCTTGCATGTCTTCTCTCTTCCATCTGCCACCGCTGGCTAGCCTTGTGCGAAAAATGGAGCAGCTCTGCATAAGCCTTCCCCTGCCAGTGCACAGCCTCTCCATCATCGAGACTTCTGCAGTGCCTCCTCGTGGCCTCCCATGGAAACTGGGTACCTTGCAGTCCCAGAGTAAACCCTGATGGTTCTCGGAGCAGCAGGAGGCCCTAGAGGTACAGGGTTGTGGCTCACCGGTGTGTGGAAACGCCCTGGCCCTGTACCAATTTCTGTCCCTAAGCACCTTGGGATTAATGGGGGAGATGGGCCTTTCCAGTCCTGCTCCCCCCCCAGATAAAACCCATCTGCATTACAAAATTTGTAAATGCTGGGAGGATGGGAAATGCATCTCCCACTCAGCAAGAGAGGCAGGCTGTGGGCCCCGTTGGGAGGGCGACTGCCAGGACGTAGAATGGGAATGGGAACTACTCGTCCTGCCTGCATTCTGGCAGCCGCCAACCCATAGAGAAGCTTAAAGGGGAAAGACAAATGGATCCCCTTAAGTGGATAATGGCCCCCGCAGCCTGCCGCCCCCTTTTATATGGAGCAGTATCAGAGGGGGTGGCAGAGGTGGCGTCTAATTGGAGTGTCTGCTTGAGGCCAAACCCAAGGCGGGAAGTCAGGGTGGAACATCCATTCTTTGCGTCAGGATGATCGTTTGCCTCTGCTGAGAATGCTCAGAATACCAGGCAAGGTTCTCGCCCACATCCTTCTGAGACGTATCAGAAACCACCTACTGAGGCATCAGTGGGCGGAGCAATCTGGATTCACTTCTGGTAAGTTCACAATAGACCGTATCCTTGCGCTTCGAGTCATTGTAGAGTGCCGTCGTGAGTACGGGCGTGGGCTGCTTGCAACCTACATCGACCTCAAGAAGACGTTCGATACGGTGCATTGGGAATCATTCTAGGAGATCCTGAGACTGAGATGAATTCCAACAACTATTATTGGACTAATAACAAGTCTGTAAACTGGTGCTGAAAGTGCTGTAAAGTGTCGGGTTTCTTCCCTGTTAGTTCAGGGAGGGTCAGCCATTTAGAATGAGCAGGGTGTGACCTCTTTCGACATGAGGGAGGTTCAGCATATGCAAGGGGTGACCTCTTTTGATATGAAAGACGTTTGGTCATTCAGCATATGTGAGAGGTAACTTCTTTTGACATGCGGGAGGGTCAGTCATTTAGCATATGCAAGGGGTGACCTCTTTTGATATGAAAGACGTTCGGTCATTCAGCATATGCAGCATCAGCATATGCACCTCTTTGACATGAGGGAGGTTCAGCATATGCAAGGGGTGACCTCTTTTGACATGAGGGAGGTTCAGCATATGCAAGGGGTGACCTCTTTTGACATGAGGGAGGTTCAGCATATGCAAGGGGTGACCTCTTTTGACATGAGGGAGGTTCAGCATATGCAAGGGGTGACCTCTTTTGACATGAGGGAGGTTCAGCATATGCAAGGGTGACCTCTTTTGATATGAAAGACGTTTGGTCATTCAGCATATGTGAGAGGTAACTTCTTTTGACATGCGGGAGGGTCAGTCATTTAGCATATGCAAGGGGTGACCTCTTTTGATATGAAAGACGTTCGGTCATTCAGCATATGCAAATGACATGAGGGAGGTTCAGCAAGGGGTGACCTCTTTTGACATGAGGGAGTTCAGCATATGCAAGGGGTGACTCTTTTGACA